TGAAACACATAACACAACAACTGTAAGCATAAATGCTTAGTGAGTTTCCCCAAAATACTACTTACGCACATACGCCTTTCCAGGCAATGACCTTCCGGTCCATGTGTCTCATGGGACTTCTTTCACGATTCGGTAGACCTTCCGGTCCTACCTGCATCAACCTTACGGTCCACATCACAACGCCTTCCGGCCCATATCATATATGCCTTCCGGCCCATAACATAATGCCTTCCGGCCCATATCAGACATAGCATACATAGCACATACAAACGATTAACTTATCATATACAGCACATACAACTCATAACATATCCGACCTTCCGGTCACACAATAAAACCCTTCCGAGTACAGTATAATGAGAAAACTCACCTCGTGGAAAGTCTAGAATCTCGCGTACTCGCTATCTCCAAATCCCAACGACAATTATACCTCGCCTAATCATAATAAATATAATTTTAATTATTATAGACTTCCACAACTAGACTTTTCCCCTTATCATCATTCCTCCGAGGGTAAAAGACCATTTTACCCTTCCGTGACTCAAAGTGTACATGTTGACCAAAACCCCCCCTAAAAGTCAACAAAAGTCAACCTTTTGAGTACGCGGGGCGTACAACGTGATGTACGCGGGGCGTACAACGTGATGTACGCGGGGCGTACATCGCCAACCCAAGGATAGGGGTCTCCACCCAGTACGCTGCGCGTACTGGGAGTTATGCCCAGCGTAACCATCAGACTTAAGCATTCATCATTTATGGTCTTAATCGGTTAAGCCATTGCTCCAACATCTAGATCCGACTTTATTTATACATCTTTACCCATAAAGTCGAAACCTTTAAGCCTTGGCATGGCTGTAAAGGCTCCTACATTCCTTAACATCATTCTATTCCAACTCAAGGATCTATATCTTATGCATGGACACACATTCACGTCCAAGATTACATTTTTATGAGTCTACAACTCAAATAGACCAGAAATATGATGGATCTAAGCTAATGGAGACCATTTGCTCATAAAGTCTCCACCTTTGGGACCAAAACCCTAGAAAATGGTACTTAAAGCATATCACAAGAACTATATGTCAAGATCCGAACTTTTTACCTTAGAATGAAGCTCCAACCTCTGCAAAGCCCGGATCTACCCTTGAGCTCCAACTTCTAGCCTTCCTAATGAACTCTTCTTCTTCTTTGCTACCTTGAAATGGCACCACCAAGCTTAGAACACTCATAAATGGACTTGGAACGAAAAAGCACTCTCTTAGGGTTTCTTTCTGAGGGATGGTGGATGGGGAATCAAGCCAACACATTCCTTTTATAGCCAACCATCACAATTAGGGTTTTTGTGTCTGGACCGGTTACGCCCAACGTAACCTTTGGTACGCCCAGCGTACCCGAGGGTGTACGCGTTTAAATGAAGCACGCGAGTACTCGCAGCGCACTCGCCCAACATGCAAAACCCTAAATGGCAACAATACAATGATGAAGGGCTAAATAGAAGGGTACCTGGATTTCGGGCTGTTACATAAATACAGCTTGATTGGGAAGAAATTTTCGTGATGAAAATTTATTAAGGCTTTTAGAATACACATTGAGTCAAAAGAGGCTTGGGTCAACATGTTGCATCATGCTTCTAGGGACAACGTAACTAGTGCATAGTACACGAAAAATATACCTGACCCCAGAGCTGCGAGCACAAATGTTGATAGACGCCAAGAGAATCTACATGAACCATAGATAGAACATACAAGAAATAACAAATAACAAAAGAACATCTTTTTGAGTTTTTATATTTTTGAAAACAACGAAAAAAAATTTCGATTTTTGAATTTTTCAAAAATAAAAACAAAGGAAAATCTTTTTGGTATTTTTGATTTATTGAAAAATAAAAACTAAAAGAAAAAAATATTTTTGTGTTTTTTAAATTTTTTGAAAAATAAAAACTAACGAAAATTAAAAATTGTACCAAACTAGCGAAAATCGTTTAAAGAAAATGAAACGTATCGAAGCGTTGACTATGAACAGTAACCGTTCACTGATTAATACGATAAGCCACCAAATGCTTCATTTTTCCTTTGAATCGACATTTTTTCATAGACAAGAATTCGTTAATTTTGAAAATTTCGTCCTGGGACAGAACTTGCATCCAACATTCCCAAACCTATCAAAATTCGTACAAAAGATTTTTCATCAAGAGGTTTCGTGAAAATATCAGCAAGCTGATCAATGTTTTCATGAAATGAACTTCAATATTACCATCTTCAACGCGATCTTTAATAAAATGATAACAAAGTGCAATATGTTTAGTTTTCGAATCTTGTACTGGATTATGACAAATGCATATAGCACTTTGTGAATCACAATACAATTGTATCTTTTTCATGTTGATTGCATAGTCATGCAACTGACTCTGTATCCAAATGATTTGCAAAGTGCAAGCGGCAGCTGCAACATATTCAGGTACAACAGTTGAAATTGCAACACAAGTTTGCTTTTTCGATTGCCAACTTACAACCTTCCCATATAATAACTGACATCCTCCACTTGTGCTTTTCCTATTGAGATTGCAACCACCTAGATCAGCATCAGAAAATGCATGAATGAAAAATCCTGATTTGGCAGGATACCACAATCCTAACGAAATTGTTCCTTTCCAGTAACGAAAAATATTCTTCACAGTGGTTAAATGTGGTTCTCTTGGATTTGCTTGATACCTAGCACAATTGCAAACAGAAAACATGATATCAGGTCTACTAGCAGTAAGATAAAGTAATGAACCTATAATGCTTTTGAACAATGTGAGATCAACAGCAGGTGTATCTAATGAAGGTGTTAATTTCGTTCAAACTGCCATTAGTATTCTCAGTTGCGTGTTGTTTGTCTTGCCAAACTTCTCCAGCCAATTCTTCGTGTATTTTTCTTGATTAATTAAAATGCCTTCTCTGCTTTGACGTATGTTCAAACCAAGAAAATTGTTGATTTTTCCCATCATACTCATTTCAAATTGGCTTTTCATAAAGTTCTCAAATTCACTAGACAAAGTAGGGTTAGTTGAGCCAAGATGATTCCCAAATTTCTTATGAAATAATGTGGGGTCAACCGATCCTTGCTTAGATTTCGATTGTTTTAAGAAATTGGTAAGAGTTGCATACCAGGATCTTGGTGCTTGTTTTAACCCATACACAACTTTATCTAAGATATACACATGATTAGGATATTCTTGAGTAACGAAACCTGGGGGTTGTTGGACATATACTGTCTCTTCAAGATCACCATTAAAAAATGCACACTTGACATCCATTTGATAAACATCAAAGTCCTTGTGAGCTGCGTAGGCTAAAAATATTCGAACAACCTCGAGTCTTGCGACATGGGCAAAGGTTTCTTCATAGTCGATACCTAATTATTGCGAGTAACCTTTAACTACAAGCCTAGCTTTATTTCGTACAATGTTTCCATCTTTGTAGGTTTTATTTTTGAAAATCCATTTTAATCTGACAATTGAAACATCATTTGGTTTAGGAATTAATCTCCAAACCTTGTTTCTTTCAAATTCATCCAATTCAGATTGCATTGCAACAACCCAATCTGAGTATCCCATTGCATCCTCAACTGATTTTGGTTCTATTTTCGAAAGAAAAACATTAAACATGCAACATTCTTGATGTGCATTAAGTACCTTATTATTTGCACGAATTCGAGCTTTTGTCAAGACACCATCCTGTGGATTCCCAATTACTTGTTCTTTGGGATGATTTTTCATCCATTTCTCAAGTGGTGGATATGCTCGATCAAAATCCAATTTTGCATCTTCGTACATATCTTCATTCTCAGATCCTACAATAGATATATCATCATTATGTTCAGGATTTAACAAATCTTCATTGTTTTGATCATGATTGAACGAATCAGCATTATTTCGTTCATGCTACCCCTCAACATGATTTTCACTTTGATGCCCCTCGAAAT